GAGGGAAGCCTCCCACAAGGATGGTAAAACATCCGGGCATTACCTGGATGAGCTCCTTCTGTCAGCTCCAGCTCCCCATATGGGGACATGAAAGACGCCTCCCACAAGGATGGTAAAACATCTAGGCATTCCCTGGATGAGCTCCCTCTGCCAGCTCCAGCTCCCCATGTGGGGCATGAAAGATGTCTCCCACAAGGATGGTAAAACATCACAACATCCGGGCACTCCCTGGGCAACGTCCCTGCAGACGGCCAATTCCCTCACACCAGAAGCAACTTGCAGTTTCTCAAGTCACTCGTGGCATGCAGAGAAAAAAAAAGGTGGATTTCCCTAATTCTACTATTCTTAGGCAAACAAAAACCCTGCAACATACACAATAAAGTTAACATGGTTAGCAAGAAAATTATTTTGTGCCACTTCGAGACCCCAGGCACTGCTGGAAATTGTGTAGACTACAAACATGGTCCTGTTTACACAACAGAACACGACTTGAGATCCTATTCTTAAGACAATGTATGCCTTTGATCAAGGTTCTTTGCTTTAAAGCTTTGAGTGGAGAATACAGTACATACGATTACTTGCTTGGACAGACGTCATGCCATGGCTATCCAACAGTCACCTCTAAATGGGGTGGACTTCTCCAACATGGCTCCCTTGGGATGCATTTCATGGTAACCCCCATCATGCTCAGCTAACACAGCGGCCTCGAAGCTCAGCATGCCTGGAGAACACAAATAACCCTCACCCTAACCAAATAAAAATGGCATTCTCAATTCAAGCTGCAGCTAAGTGCTCCCATGACTGAACTGACACTCTTCCATAGATGCCACCAAGAAAGCAAGAGCATCAACACAATGCCTCTGTACCTGAATCGAACGCCAACTTTCAAAGGGTAGCTCTGCATTTTTTGGACTGAATGACCGTATTCCAGAAGCATTCTCTCCTGATGTTTCACCCACATCTATGGAAGACATCCTCAGAGGTTGAGGGGTCTGCTAGAAACTTAAGTAAGTGGCATTTATATATCTGTGGAAGGTCCAGAGTGGGAGAAAAAACTGCTTGAGTCAGTGGATGTTGTAATTGGCCATCTTAATTAGCATTTAATTAACAATTAATTAAATTATTAATTAATTCTCACCCTTTGGGGTGTAAAGGGCGGCATATAAATGTCATAAATAAATTTAATGGTATTGCAGTTTCAAGGCCTGGCTCGTTGCTGCCTGGAGGAATCCTTTGTTGGGAGGTGTTAGCTGACCCCAATGGATTCTTGTCTAGAATTCCAGTACTTTTTGAGTGTTCCTCTTTATTTACTGCCCTGATTTTAGAGTTTTTTTAATACTGGGAGCCAGATTTTGTTCATTTTCATGGTTTCCTCCTTTCTGTTGAAAAGAATAATAATAATAATAATAATAATAATAATGATGATGATGATGATGATGATGCATTATTCGCCAATACATCACACAGTCCTAGATACTTGGGAAGTGTCTTACATGTGATCTAATACAACAGCCAGCAGAGTGATCTTGTTTGCTGTGGACTCATCTTGTGTCTCAAATAATAATAATAATAATAATTATTATTATTATTATTATTATTATTATTATTATTATTATTACGTATGATCCAATTCAACAGCCAGCAGAGTGTCTGCAGTGGATTCATCTTGTTGTGTTTCTAATAATAATAATAATAATAATAATAATAATGCATTATTCGCCGATACATCACACAGTTCTAGACACTTGGGAAGTGTCTTACATGTGATCGAATACAACAGCCAGCAGAGTGATCTTGTTTGCTGCGGACTCATCTTGTGTCTCAAATTATTATTATTATTATTATTATTATTATTATTATTATTATTATTACGTATGATCCAATTCAACAGCCAGCAGAGTGTCATCTTGTTGTGTTTCAAATAATAATAATCCAATTCAATAGCCAGCAGAGTGTCTGCTGTGGACTCATCTTGTTGTGTTTCAAATACTACTACTACTACTACTACTAATAATAATAATAATAATAATAATAATAATGCATTATTCGCCCATACATCACACAGTCCCAGACACTTGGGAAGTCTCCGATGTGTGATCTAACACATACAATAGCCAGCAGAGTGATCTTGTTTGCTGTGGACTCCTCTTGTGTCTCAATTATTATTATTATTATTATTATTATTATTATTATTATTATTATTATTACTACTACGTATGATCCAATTCAACAGCCAGCAGAGTGTCTGCTGTGGACTCATCTTGTTGTGTTTCAAATAATAATAATAATAATAATAATAATAATAATAATAATAATCCAATTCAACAGCCAGCAGAGTGTCTGCTGTGGACTCATCTTGTTGTGTTTCAAATAATAATAATAATAATAATAATAATAATAATAATAATAATTTTTTGTCGTGTCAGGACTGCTTTGAAGAGCCCCCAGTGGCGCAGTGGGTTAAACCCCTGTGCCGGCAGGACTGAAGACCAACAGGTCGCAGGTTCGAATCCAGGGAGAGGCGGATGAGCTCCCTCTATCAGCTCCAGCTCCTCATGCGGGGACATGAGAGAAGCCTCCCACAAGGATGATAAAAACATCAAATCATCCAGGTGTCCCCTGGGCAACGTCCTTGCAGACGGCCAATTCTCTCACACCAGAAGTGACAGAATAATAATAATAATAATAATAATAATAATAATAATAATAATAATAATCTTTATTTATATTCCGCTCTATCTCCCCAAAGGGACTCAGGGCAGATTGTCCACATGCTTGTGGAGTTCAGTGGCTTCTCTGTGAGGTCTGACATGGTGGTCGTGAGAGTGGTCCAGCATTTCCGTGTTCTCAAATAATATGCCGTGCACAGGTTGGTTCATCAAGAGCTCTGCTATGGATGACTTCTCTGGCAGAATTAGTCTGCAGTGCCTTTCATGATCTTGATTCATGTTTGGGCAATGCTGCGTTTGATGCCTGCCATAGATGTGGGAGAAACGTCAGAAGAGAATGCTTCTGGAGCATGACTATACAGCCCCGAAAACGCACCGCAACCCAGAGATTGTGGCCATAAAACCTCTGACAACACATCCAACTTTCAAAGTTCGGGGATTGACTGGCTGACTGACTGAATGCATGCATGAAAGAGCATCCAGGCATGTGCAACCTTGCCTACATTCATGTTGGGAAGTGGAATTTTCCATTCGCAAGGCTAGCAATGCAGTTCTGCTATAAATAGAGGCAGCAGTGGCAACAGTAACTGCAACAAAGACGACCAGCGGCCAAGCTGCCTCCTCCTGCAAAGCCCTGGATCTACTCTCATATTAGGGCATTGACAGGAGAAAATGTCAGCTGCCACCAGGAAAAGGAAGAAAATGGCTTGCTGTGAGTTTTCCAGGCTGTATGGCCATGCTCCAGAAGCATTCTCTTCTGACGTTTCACCTGCATCTATGGCAGGCATCCTCAGAGGTTGAGGCAAGTTGGGTTTATATATCTGAAATGTCCAGGGTAGGAGAAAGAACTCTTGTATTCTTGAGGCAAGTGTGAATGTTGCAAATGGCCACCTTGAAGAGCCTAGCAGTTTCAAGGTCTGGCTTCTTACTGCCTGGGGGAATGAATCCTTTATAAGAAGCCAGACCTTGAAACAGTTAGGCTATTAAATGCTAGTCAAGGTAGCCAATTGAAACAATCACACCTATCTCAAACATATGAGAGTTATTTATCCCACCTTGGATATTTAATGGCCTAGCAGTTTCAAGGTCTGGCTTCTTACTGGCTGGGGGAATGAATCCTTTATAAGAAGCCAGACCTTGAAACTGTTATGCCATTAAGTGCTAGTCAAGGTGGCCAAAAGAAACATTCACAGCTATATCAAACAGACAATAATTATTTCTCCCACCTTGGACATTTAATGGCCTAGCAGTTTCAAGGTCTGGCTTCTTGCTGCCTGGGGGAATGAATCCTTTATAAGAAGCCAGACCTTGAAACTGTTAGGCCATTAAGTGCTAGTCAAGTTGGCCAACTGAAACAGTCACACCCATCTCAAACAGACAAGAGTTATTTCTCCCACCTTGGACATTTAATGGCCTAGCAGTTTCAAGGTCTGGCTTCTTACTGCCTAGGGGAATGAATACTTTATAAGAAGCCAGATCTTGAAACTATAGGTGGCCAATTGAAACATTCATACCTACCTCAAACAGACAAGAGTTCTTTCTCCAACAATGAACATTTAATGGCCTAGCAGTTTCAATGTCTGGCTTCTTACTGCCTGGGGGAATGAATCCTTTATAAGAAGCCAGACCTTGAAACTGCTAGGCCATTAAGTGCTAGTCAAGGTGGCCAATTGAAACAGTCACACCTATCTCAAACAGACAAGAGTTATTTCTCCCATCCTGGATATTTAATGACCTAGCAGTTTCAAGGTCTGGCTTCTTACTGGCTGGGGGAATCCTTTGTTGGGAGGTGATTAGCTGGCCACCGATATATAAACCCCATTTTCCTACTTTCCAACAGACCTCACAACCTCTGAGGATGCCTGACATAGATGCAGGCGAAACGTCAGGAGAGAATACTTCTGGAACATGGACAGTCGGAAAAACTCACAACAACCCAGTGATTCTGGCCACAAAAGCCTTCGACAATACAAGGAAGACAACATTTGGCAAAATTACTCACTTTTGGAGGGAGAGAACAGGAAAGAAAATGGGTTGTTGTAGCTTTTTCGGGCTATATGGCCATGTTCTAGAGGCATTCTCTCCTGACATTTCGCCTGCATCTATGGCAAGCAACCTCAGAGGTTGTGAGGCGAAATGTCAGGAGAGAATGCTTCGAGAACATGGCCATATAGCCCAAAAAAACCTACAAGAACTCAGTGATTCCAGCCATGAAAGCCTTCGACAATACAGAAAAGAAAATGATCTAAAAATCAAGTTTGACTCAAGAAACATATTGACATTGATCTTCATTCAAATGGAGAATAAGGAGTATTATCACAAGCTATTAACTAGAATGGGCAAAATTTCCATCACTTGGTTTCAAGCATGCATTTAAGGGACTCTCAGACCTGAGAAAAGTAAGACCACAGCTTGAGGACCACGGCGGGTCCATATTGTTTCTCTTATTTGTCTACATAGTCATAACACAAGCTCCAGACATACCGATGATGTGCAACAAATGCATTTTTTGGATCGATCGAGGATTAGGAACATGACGTCTCTACGAATGATCTGCATTCTCATTAAAATCAGGGCAGGAAAAAAAGCTTGGTGTTTATTGGAGAAGTGCTTTGTGGTTTCTCTTCTGCGGAAAGCCACCGACGGACTGGATTTCTTTGCCGAGAAAGAGCCCAAAGAGTGCTTCCATTTGAGGAAGATTGGTTCCCTAACTGGAAACCTGAAGCGCAGGGGCTGGAAATCGAAATTTAAAAACCTAACACTAGTTCCCAGGGACCAGTCTATACATTCATACCAAGCATGCAGTTTAGATTTCCAGAGGCGATACCACTAGATAACACAGATAATGGGGCCACTCAAAAAGTCCCTGTCAAATTGGGCGACTGAAATAGGTTGCAATGGTGTTATCCCCAACAGGAATGTTTAGATCAATTCTAAAGGAAGCTAAAGTTGAAGTCCTTTGGCCACATCATGAGGAGACAGCAAAGCCTAGAGAAGACAATTATGCTGGGGAAAGTGGAAGGCAAAAGGAAGAGGGGCCGACCAAGGACAAGATGGATGGATGGCATCCTTGAAGTGACTGGACTGACCTTGAAGGAGCTGGGGGTGGTGACGGCCGACAGGGAGCTCTGGTGTGGACTGGTCCATGGGGTCACGAAGAGTCGGAGACGACTGAACGAATGAACAACAAAAGGAAGCTAAAGACATTAAGTTGCCTGTTGACATAACTAAACCCATCAATGTCATAGATTTAGGTGAGGAATACTCAGAGGTGGCTTTGTCAGTTCTTTCCTCCGCTATTCCCCTTAGGAATCCCAATACGGCTGGACCACACGGAAGGGCTTTGCTGAATGGATGCATAGACTGGCTCAGTGTCCTTCAGAATCGGTTACAGTACATTTTCTGGCATGTCGTGAATGCTAAAGAAAAACAAAACAAAAAAAAGGAATAATTTCCCAACTTTGGTAGAGCTTGGATTGATTCCCTACGCTCTCGTGACGCTCACACGCTTTCGGAAGAGGCGCGCTTCATATGGGGCTGAGCCAGGCCCTCGCCTTGGAGATTCCTGAAATAGATTTTGAGCTTCTGGGGCTCGGCGATGCGCCTCCGGCTGAAGTCTGCTCGCGGCTGGATTCGGGCACAGTGATCCGTCTGCAGCGTATTGAAAAGGCTGGCCATGTCTGGTCCAATTTTGGCCATGAGGCTGGCCTTTACGGTCCTCACCGTCTCTTCATCACATTCCAATAAGCTTTTCAAGAGCTTGTTATAATACCTGTCAAGATAAAGACAGTTAGTCTCCATGCTTGCTTGCTTGCTTGATTTATTTACTTACTTTATTTCTATACCGCTTTTCTCAGCCCTCACGCGACTCAACGCGGTGAACAACGTCAATACAAAACATCACGAGACAAGTATAGGGCAATTTAAAACAATTGTAACATAAAGATTGGATTACTGTAATGCACTCTACGTGGGGCTGCCCTTGAAAACGGCTCGGAAATTCCAATTGGTCCAACAGGCGGCAGACAGGATGTTAACTGGCGCTCCTTACAGAGAGAGGTCAACCCTCCTGTTTAAGGAGATCCATTTATTTATTTATTTATTTATTTATTTCGGTCATTTCTACCCTGCCTTTCTCACCCCCGAGGGGGGACTCAAGGCGGCTTACATCCAGCACAATTCGATGCCCACAATTACAATAAAATGCAATAGCAATAACACAATAGATTAAAAACAGACAATTAATACAGTACAATACAACACAATACAATATCAACTAAAACCACTCTATAACCCGCATTCATCATGTTCTAAAATCCGTCAATCCGTTTAGCATTGCCGTAGTCCTTTCCAACTCTAGTCATCATTATCTTGTTACCCTGCCAGATTACCCAAATGCCTGGTCCCATATCCATGTCTTCAGCTTTCTTCTGAAGGAGAGAAGGGATGTTGACGACCTAATTTCCCCGAGGAGTGAATTCCACAGGTGAGGGGCCACCACTGAGAAGGCCCTGTCCCTCATTCCCACCAGCCTCACTTGTGATAAAGGTGGGGCCGAGAGCAGGGCCTCCCCAGAAGATCTTAAACTCCGTGGTGGGACATAGAAGGAGATACGTTCAGACAAGTACACTGGGCCGGTGCCATAGAGGGTTTTGTAGGTCAAAACCAGCACTTTGAATTGTGCTTGGAACTGGATCGGCAGCCAGTGGAGCTGACGTAGCAGAGGAGTGGTGTGCTCCCTGTATGACGCTCCGGTGATTAATCTGGCTGCCGCCCGTTGGACTAGTTGAAGTTTCCGAACAGTCTTCAAAGGCAACCCCACGTAGAGTGCGTTGCAGTAATCTATTCGGGATGTAACAAGAGCGTGGACCACTGTGGCCAGATCAGACTTCCCAAGGAACAGGCACAGCTGGCGCATGAGTTTAAATTGGGGACGAGAGACAGGGCCTTTTCTGTGGTGGCCCCTCGGCTATGGAACGCCCTTCCCATGGAGGTAAGATCAGCCCCCTCGCTGATGGTGTTCCGAAGAAGATTAAAAACCTGGATGTTCGAACAGGCATTTGGTTAATCGGTGCAATGAATGTGATGATTACAGGAATGGTAATATGGACGACGAAACTGGATCACGATTTTAGTCATGAGATGCATTGGGTTGTTATTGTTGTGTCAATATTGTATTATGCTTTTATGGTTTTAAATTGTATATTGTTGACTGTTGTACCTTTGTTGTAAACCGCGTTGAGTCGCCTGTTAGGCTGAGAAACTGCGTATACAAGTAAAGTAAAGTAAATAAATAAATAAATAAATTGTGCAAATGCTCTCCCAGCCACTGCTGAGACCTGGGGTTCCAGGCTCAGCGATGAGTCCAGGTTCACTCCCAAGCTGCGAACCTGCGTCTTCAGAGGGAGTGGAACCCCGTCCAACACAGGCTGTAACCCTATGCCCTGTTTGGCCTTACGACTGACCAGTAGGACCTCTGTCTTGTCTGGATTCAGTTTCAATTTGTTAGCTCTCATCCAGTCCGACACAGCGGCCAAGCACCGGTTCAAGGTCTGGACAGCCTCCTTGGTGACAGGTGGGAAGGAGTGACAGATTTGGACATCATCTGCATAGAGATAACATCTCATTCCGAAACTCCGAATGATCTCCCCCAGCGGCTTCATGTAGATGTTAAATAACATCGGAGACCAATTTAAGGTGCAGGTGCTTACCTACAAAGCCCTGAACGGTTTGGGACCTCCTACCTGCGTGACCGCATTTCCATCTATGAACTTTGGTCATCTGGAGAGGCCCTGCTCGCGATCCCACCTGCGTCGCAGGCGCGTTTGGTGGGGACGAGGGACAGGGCCTTCTCTGTGGTTGCCCCCCGACTTTGGAACACCCTCCCCAAAGACATTAGACTAGCACCCACGTTGGCAGTCTTTAGGAAGAACTTGAAGACCTGGCTATTCCGATGTGCCTTTCCAGAATAGGATAACCCCCAGCACTATGTCCCAGAAGCACTTTACTAGAGTTAAGACCCTCTGCACATTGCACTTGCCCAGAATACCAACATACCACCATCACACCCAGCACTTTTAGCCTGTACCCATCACTGGCCCGGCCCTGGTTTTTATTGTGTAATAGTGTAATATTTTGTCATTGCTTATGTTTTTAATTTTTGCTTTGTATCGTATTGTTATTGTTTGCTGTTGTTGTGTTGAGGCCTTGGCCTTTGTAAGCCGCATCGAGTCCTTCAGGAGATGCTAGCGGGATACAAATAAAGTTTAATAATAATAATAATAATAATAATAATAATAAATCATTAAACATCCGTATAACAATCATTAACACCTCAACAGTAAAATCAGAATCCAGTCTCATAATCCATTATTCCGTATTCCTGTGTTCAATTACATAGCAGGCGGGCTTGCTTATGAGTGACCTTTAATAATAATAATAATTATTATTATTATTATTATTATTATTATTAAATAATAATATTTAATAATATTAATAATATTGATATTTAATAATATCAATAATATTGATATGGACCACTCTAACAACTAATATGTCAGACTACACAAAGAAGCCATTGAAATCCACAAGCATGTGGACAATTTCAACAGAAAGGAAGAAACCATGAAAATGAACAAAATCTGGCTACCAGTATTAAAAAACTCAAAAATTACAACAGCAAAACAACAGAGAGTAAACAATCAGGCACATCAAATCACCTCTCAACAAAAGATTCCCCCAGGCACTTCCAAGCCATTATATGCTAATCAAGGTGGTCAGTTGAAACATTCACACCTAGCTCCAGCAGACAAGAGTCCTTTGTCCCACCCTGGTCATTCCACAGATATATAAACCCTTTTTCCTAGTTCCAACAGACCTCACTACCTCTGAGGATGCTTGCCATAGATGCAGGTGAAACGTCAGGAGAAATGCCTCTAGAACATGGCCATATAACCCGAAAAAACCCACAAGAACCTATATTATCTATCTCTATCTCTATATAAATAAAAATGTTATGTTCGTTTGTGGGATTAACATAACTCAAAAACCGCTGGATGAATTGCCGCCAAATTTGGCCACAAGACACCTACTAACCCAAGGAGTGACCATTACTCAAAAAATTGATTTTGTCATTTGGGAGTTGTAGTTGCTGGGATTTATAGTTCACCTACAATCAAAGAACATTCTGAACTCCACCAACAATAGAATTGAACCAAATTGGACACACAGAACTCCCATGATCAACAGAAAACACTAGAAGGGTTTGGTGGGCATTGATTTTGAGTTTGGGAGTTGTAGTTCACCTACATCCAGAGAGCACTGTGGATTCAAACAATGATGGATCTGGACCAAACTTGGCGTGAATATTCCGTATGCCCAAATATGAACACAGATGGAGTTTGGGGGAAATATATCTTGACGTTTGGGAGTTGTAGTTACTGGGATTTATACAATCAGAGAGCATTCTGACCCCCACCAACAACAAAATTGGGGCCAACTTCCCACACAGAACCCCCATGACTAACAAAAATACTTAAGGCCATCCAGTCCAATTCCCTTCACAAGGGCAAGAAAACGTAAGCAAAGCCCTCCTGATGAAGAGCCATTCAGCCATAGATATAGATAGATAGATATGATTCACACACACAGAAAGATATAGTATCATAGATATGGAAGGGACCCCTAAATAAGGACAATTATATGTTGCAGGTTCCAGATTAGGCAAACCAGACAATCTCTACATTAACACTGACAAAGAAATAGCAAGAAATAGTGTTTTCCCGCAAGCATAAAGAAATTTTAAATATTAGAAACCAACACTTCCTAATTACTTTATTTTCCAGATCACCAGACTGGGCCACAGCAATGCCTGGCAGGGGACAGCTAGTATTAAATAATATTAATAATATTAATAACTAGCTGTCCCCTGCCACGCATTGCTGTGGCCCACATGGGGGTTCTTTGTGGGAGACATGGCCCAATTCTATCATTGGTGGGATTCAGAATGCTCTGTGATTGTAGGTGAACTATAAATCCCAGAAACTACTACTCCGAAATGCCAAGATTCTATTTCCCCCAAACTCCACCAGTGTTCACATTTGGGCATACTGAGTATTTATGCCAAGTTTGCTCCAGATCCATCATTGTTTGAGTCCACAGTGATCTCTGGATGTAGGTGAACTACAACTCCAAAACCAAAGGACACTGCCCACCAAACCCCTCCAGTATTTTCTGTTGGTCATGGGAGTTCTGTGTGCCAAGTTTGGTTCAATTCAATCGTTGGTGGAGTTCTGAATGCTCTTTGATTGTAGGTGAACTATAAATCCCAGCAAGTACAACTCCCAAATGCCAAGGTCTATTTCCCCCAATCTCCACTAGTGTTCACATTTGGGCATATTGAGTATTCAAGTTTGGTCCAGATCCATCATTGTTTGAGTCCACAGTGTTCTCTGGATGTAGGTGAACTACAACTCCAAAACTCAAGGTCAATGCCCACCAAACCCTTCCAGTATTTTCTGTTGGTCATGGGAATTCTGTGTGCCAAGTTTGATTCAATTCCATTGTTGGTGGAGTTCAGAATGCTCTTTGATTGTAGGTGAACAGAGTTCTGTGTACCAAGTTTGATTTGATTCGATCGTTGATGTAGTTCAGAATGCTCTTTGATTGTAGGTGAACTATAAATCCCAGCAACTACAACTCCCAAATGACAAAATCATAAATTTTTGAGTGATGGTCACTCCTTGTGTTGTGAGACGTTTTGTTGCCAAATTT